AATAATGAGTAACACTCTTAAAATATAAGAAAATATGGAACCCTTGTTTTCCGTATAACTTCTAAATATAAAACCTCTTTAACTGTATTCTCCTTTGTAGTGATAATTCATAATCTAGAATCATGAACTGCTGTCACCAACAAAATGTTCATTCTATATGATTTTTTTCAGTATATATATGTTGGGAGTAGTCTCACTGTGAACACCAATGACACCCTGATATTTTTAATGTGTGTTGGGGCTTTGTTGAATATTACATATTCTATATGTTCCTATTCAAATACATATTACGATATGAATGTCTAATGGGTTAAAAAGAACAGATGTTAGTTTGCTATTCTGTACCATGAGGCCTCTGGAATGTGCTGTATTGGGTTATTGGGGGTAGGGTTCTTATGTGGGGAGTTTCTTTTATTTAGAGTTTAAATTAAAATGGATATTTGATCCTAAGCATTAAAACTGGTCCCTTCACTACTATTGGCAGAAACAAAGGCAAAAACAACTATATATCATTATGAAACTATGTATGCCCAAGACCACAATGCATAGTCAGCCATCACATTCTTTTATTATTATTGTTTAACCCCTTAAGGACACAGGACATGTGTGACATGCCATGATTCCCTTTTATTCCAGAAGTTTGGTCCTTAAGGGGTTAAAGGGAAACTCCAGACCCTTAAAGCACTTTAGCTTGATGAAAAGCTTTATATGTGAAGAGTGTGTCCTATTTATTTTTTCATTTCACAACAATTGCAGAATAGAAATCGACACATTTATAAATTAGCCTGGTTCTACCCCATTGATTTTCAAGCAGGCAGCAGGTCCTGTTACTTCTTAGTTTGGCTAGTTCAGTGGAGCTAAACTCAAGAGGCAGCAATTACTCAGAGCACCTGCCTTGCAAAGACTTCTCATAAAACTGTATAGGAAGTCTGTGGTTGGACAACCACAGAAAGTCTGGGCGGAGTTAGAAGGGGATGGTTTGTAAAGGCTGCAGACAGGAGAACTGCAAGTATTGTAGCTGTTTTTAGATTTACTGCAATAAATAAAATGCCTAATTAAATTAAATCAAGTTTTCATCTACTAAACATATTTTTACATTTAGTTTGTACTTAGGTAGTGCAGTGTCCCTTTTACTTATTCTGCAGTTGGGAGAACAGAGTGTGTCTTGTTAGTGATTCAATCAAGGGAGGTGTATAAATTGATACATGGTATATATGTCTGTAATGATAATGAAGTCTAGACTGGACATTGCTAGGGATAGTAAGTAAGAATGTAGTGAATTGCATTATGAATAGAGAAATTGTACACATATTTTCAAGTGTGTTCTACAATACTTGCCAAGTGAGCAGCAGAGATTCCTGGCTGCCTACTAAATAGATGCATTGGCTAAGTTGGAGCAATTACCATTGTTGGATTAGCATACAGGGGTCAAGTCCTGGGGAAAAAAGTATGGGAACTCATCCAAGTTCCACCCCCACGGGGTGACAGTGTGTGGAGGCTGAAAGTAATTAGGGATGGTGATATTGTATGGAGGGGTGTGACAGTGTGTGTATGGGGATGATAGAGTGTGTGGGTGGGTGACAGGGTGCGTGTATGGGGGGAGTGACAGGGTATGTGTGTGGAGAGGTGACAGAGTATGTGAGGGGGCTGTGACAGGGTTTATGGGGGGGCTGTGATGGTGTATGGGGAGACAGGATGGGGATGGCTGTGACAAGGTTTGGGTAGGAATGCTGTGAGAGGGTAGGGGGCTGTAGGGTGGGTAGGGGGTTGTAAGGTGGGTAGGGGGGTTGTAAGCTGGGTAGGGGGTTGTAAGGTGGGTAGAGGGACAGTGAGGTGGGTAGGGGGTTGTGAGGTGGGTAGTAGGACTGTGAGGTGGGTAGGGGGGCTGTATGGTGGGTAGGAGGGTAGTGAAGTGGGTAGGTGGACTGTGAGTGGGTAGGGGGACTGTTGGTGTTTAGGAGGGCTCCCTGACAGAGAGACACACACACACACACACACACTTATTCACAGACACACACACAAACACTCACAGACACACACTGACAAATATACACACACATACTAACTGACAGCCAGATACACACACCTTGCGGGCAAACAAGTCCTGCAGGACCACAAACGGAAACGGCATTCCTGCTGTGGAAAAGTGCAGGAACGCCGTTCCTGTGCATTCCTCTAGGACTCGAGCTCTGCTAGCTTGCGGATTATTTTTAGGTGTAGCTGAGAAAAGACATGGGTTGTATTAATCTAAGTAACTTTAATGTAGTGCTCCCCAGCATGTTTTGTTTGGAATTTTTCTAGAGCTGGCCATGATATTGTTTATATACGTCTGTTATTGTCCCTTAGTTAAATCTTTTGTTTTCTGCAGTAAAACGCAGATTAAGTTAAGTGGTAATACTGACCTTTGACAAGAGTAGTTTTTTTCTGGCCACAGGCACTGAGAACCTCACTAGGTGTATTGAAACAAATCAGTTTTATTTGAGGGAATTTAAGACCCAATTCTCTGCTAAAAACTAAAATACATTCGTATACTGTCTGTTACAGTTTTTAAAAAGACATGGGTGCCCAATACTTATGAGTATTTTTAGTACAGCGCAGCTTTGTATGGCATTATTTGACTAGAACGTAGGTGTCAAAGCAAGCCAATTATAAATATCTATTACTCTCATCGGGAAAATGTTGTACTGCTTTACAGTAATTCAATTTCGCTAATACACCTATAAGTGAATAGATGAAGTAAACAATATATACACCAAGCCAGAATATCACCTTTTTTGAAAGATATCAAAAATAAAATTCTAGTAAGTAAATAATTCTTGCCCGACCTTAATATTGTATATCGTCCCTATTTCGCACAATGTGTGACACATTGACCTTAATATGTTTTCCCAGAGGCAGGATACCTATAACTTGATCGATCTGTCAGCTCTCTGTTAATAAAACAAGTGAGGCGTGTCGGTGAGGGGGACATTATAAAGCTGCGGTGATTTTTTTTTAACAATAGCAAAAACATGGCTTTCTACTAGGAGTCAGGTTCTCTGGGATAATTTTTGAGAAATGAACTCAGTAGAGCAGAATAAGCATGAAACTGGGGATGGTGCTTGATGTAAGCTGGCTGTCTCAGCTTTTCACACAAAATTAACTTTAGAGAAAATGACAGAGGTTTAGCACTGTGGGCACAAAGCTGAAATGAAATTCAGTGGAACATAAGCGGACATTTAAAGTTTTGTTGTTTGGTGGGACAAATGTGAAGAAATGTCATGTTGAGTGAGATCTGGTAAGGTGTGCACTTTGGTGCTGTTTTTTTTTTTACATAATACAATAATAAAACAGCCAGATTACACAGGTTACCATGGTGACCGCTCCAATTCTAGAAGTTTGCTCTAAATTGTTATTAATGCATAAACCCAAATAAATACTGATCTGTCACGTAAAAGTGCAATGACCTAATAGTAGTTGTAACGGTAGCTAACAAATACATATACGAAACCCTTTTCATGTCTTTGATACATATTGACAGTGTTAAAAACCAAATAGCTAGGTCATAATACCTCTATTTTAATTCTAACAAAGTAACATGCAAGTTGTAGTACTTTTTAAGGAGCATTATAGGGTCAGAAACACAAACATGTATTCCTGATCCTATAGGGTTAAAACCCCCATCTAGCCACTCTGGTCCCCTCATGCCTTCCTAAGTATAGTAAAATCTTACTTGTATTCAAGTCTGCTGCTGCTTACTTTGTCTCTGTTCCCTTTAGACCTGCCCACTGCCTGCTGACATCATCAGAAGTTGTAGCCTGATCCAATCACAATGCTTCCCCATAGGATTGGCTGAGACTGACAAAGAAGCAGATCAGAGGCAGAGCCAACATGAGTCAAACACAGCCCTGGTCAATCAGCATCTCCTCATAGAGATTAATTGAATCAATTAATCTCTATGAGGAAAGTTCAGTGTCTGCATGCAGAGGGAGGAGACACTGAATGTTTGGATGCATTTTAGGCAGCCATGACCCAGGAAGAATCTCTAACGGCCATCTAAAGAGTGGCCAGTGAAGTTACTGTAATGTAAACACTGCATTTTCTCTGAAACAAGCAGTGTTTACAGCAAAAGGCTTGAAGGTAATGATTCTACTCACCAGAACAAATTCAATAAGCTGTAGTTGTTCGGGTGACTATAGTGTCCCTTTAACCTCCTCATACTTGGGTACATTTGTTTTTTAAATGTTATATAGGTCATTGTAGCTAACTATATTATATGATATGTCATGATAGCATTATCCAAATATATTCGGGGCCAATACAAACTATTGTCTGGAAATCTATTCATAGACAAAACTATAAACAAGATAACCAATTTAAATTGAAAGAAAGGAATTTAGTCTAAGGCAAAGGAAAGGGTGTGTAATTCTCTGCTTGAAGAGGTGGTTTTATCAGAGTCTGTACAGATGTTTAAACAGCAATTGGATGAATACTTGAAAAAATATAATATTCAGGGATATCATTTTTAATATGTGAGGTAACAGCTTCTTTATCCAAAGAGAGATCTGACTATCATTTTGGATTCAAGAAGGATTTTTTCCCCAGTTTGCTGCAAAATGAAATATTGAGAAGTAATGATATGATAGCATTACAGTCATCCAAATGTCTGGTCATACAGCTATATATCAGAGAGAAAATGGTATATTTTGTTTGTGAAAATAATTATGAAGATGTTAAAGGTTTGTTCACTTGCCAAATTACACATAACTAAATTATAAACATGGCGGGCATGGCCTGACTGCCGATGGAGTGAGACACACTCAACTTGAGCTCCTAGGCCCCAACCTGCTAAACCCTGGAAAATAGCGATACATTAAACTACAAATGGGGAAATCTAAGCAAATGGGTACAGCTGGTACCTCCTGTGCGACCCCAGCTAGACAAAATCCCGGCCAGATGGACAAGGCCCTTGTGGCACTGATGACACCTCCACGACAACACCGTCCTCGCCAAGCTCCAACATGGCACACTCGAGCCAGACCTCCCCAGCGACCTCCACGCTAGCCCAAATATCAGAGGACATAGCGAAAATTACAGCAAGCATGCTTACCCGCAAGGACAAGGTGGATATGGTCGCGGAGCTGAGAGCAGTTATCAGGGAGGAAATCACGGCAGTCCGCAGAGACCTTACAGCGCTGGAGCAACGCATAAACGACCTGGAAGTAGACCATCTACAGAACGCCCAATACTGGCGGCAGGCATCGGAGCTGGCGACTGGGAGGCAAGGAAACATCCTTCTGGACATCCGCCGACAGGTCGAGGACCTCGATAATAGAGGCCGCAGAAAGAACATAAGAGGCGGAAGAGGAAGACCCCCAAGAGGTCCTTATAGGCCTGTTCACGCACCTCCTAGGGGACACAGCCCCCTACGATTTCGGCATCGAGAGAGGGCAACGGGCCTTGCAGGCCCCTAGAAGAGACAGCCTACCGAGAGACATCATTTGCTCGCTGGAATCATTTCAACTAAAGGAAACTCTAATGCAGGCGGCTAATGCGCAGCAAAGGATTTCATATATGGACTCCCAGGTCTCCCTTTATCAAGACCTGTCCACAATCACCCTGGATGCCTGCCGGGCCCTGAGGCCGCTAACCCGGATGCTGCAGGAGAGGAGGATTCCCTACAAATGGGGGTTCCCATTTAGCCTGCAGGCAAGGACAGGCAACATATGCCACACTATTCCATGGCCAAACGACGTGCCCCGCTTCCTGAGCGCAGCCAGCTTACCCGCAGTACAGATCCCGAATTGAATCCTGGAAGGACCTCCGGCCCGGGCAACAGGACCATCGGAAGTGGCGCACAATTTCCGGGCAGACCTCGTCCCACAACAGCGCAGAGGAGACCCACAGGTCCCCGAAGAAGACTCAGCCAAGTGCCTCCCTTAAGCAAGCAATGTCCACACACCGAACCGGACTGGCGCACTCCGTGACCCTGGCCCATTGGATAAGGGTGACCCACTGACCCAGACCCACTTGATAGAAGACCTAGACTGGGGTATGTACTCTTCCTAAACCCTACCTAATAGCCTTAGACGGGAAGCATGTGTGGGATCCAAATAGGTGGGGAGGGAAGGGTCAACCCAGGGGGTGGACAAAAGGGTAGAGTGTCCCACCGGAATGCCTTAATGCAAAGGCTCATAACAAGGGGGAACCCTGAGGTTGGGAGGGTATGGGCGCTCACGAGGAAGGGAGGGAGACCAGGAAGTTACCAATCAGGCCGTAACAGGCAACGGATACCCACACGAAGCCCCAACAACTGGGACACTACAAGAACAACGGCCTGGACTGTGGGACGATGAGTTAAGGGGGAACGGAAGAGTGTGGGGGGACAAGGATTGGGGTGGGACGGGCATAGGGTAAAAGAATCTCTTAAATGTTGGGTAGTGTATTGTACATAGTTTAAAAGATTTGTTGCAGCTACCTCCGAGCTGTTGGCCCCCCAGATGAGAGACCCCCTTACATACTACTCTCAAACACTGTAAGCACACTGCATGAAAATGTTTGAAACACTGGCCCAAGGCGTTGAAACTACATAGAACCAGGGGAGATTAAAGAGGAGCTAGAGGGAGGGGTCTGGAATAGAATGGACGTAAGAAGCGGGAACTGCTGGAACATTGGGGATAGTATGAGAGAAGATGGGCCGGATTATTGCAAGGGAAGGAAGGGGGGAAGAGAACAAAAAACAAGGCAAAGGAACCTTGGGCGACCACCCCCTACACACATACATATCCCACACCAAACAAGCATGCAGTGCAAAAGTATAGATCACGGGTCTACTACATGACAAAAGCAACTGCAAAATACACGAAACCCCTCTGACATTTACCCAAGAAAGGGAGAAAACACTTGGTAAGAAAAGGGCCAAATTCTACGGCATCCCAACAAGGGAACCAACTAGCAAATACTAGAGCCCACATACCAGACGCAACACCATAGACGGGCACACACTACAGTACAGTTAAACACATAGGACGGCACACTACAACGATAGAGCCTCACCACAGGAGAGGAACACAACATGGAGACATTAGCCCACGACTCATTGGAACCCAAGAATACACCAACGAGAGGTGACACAGAACACATGAGCGGTAAACAGGGCATGACAGGTCTAGTCTGAACCTAGCTAACCCAGAGGAGCTCTAACCTACGAGCAGCGGGGGAAGATCTTGGGGGGGAAAAAACAAAAACAGGGAACCATAGGTAATGCTGGGGACTAGAGAAACCTGGGAGGAATACACCAACACAATGCGAGCCGCAGAATCACAAACAAGACGCACAACACCGGTTGAGACCGGGAGGAAAATACCCCCAAACTAGCGAACACCGACAATACAACAACAAACGCCTCCGACAGGTTGGGAGCTGACGGAGAGGAAGGAAGACAACTGACCGCACGACCAGACGACACCACTACCAAAGGTGGCACCACTGTCATTAAAACCGGGGTTCCGCGGGATGGGCATACCACCCAACCCCTGGAACGACAGCATCCGGGGCAGGGTCGACGTCACACCCATACAACCCCCTATCGAAGTGCCGGACGAGCACTTCTCCACAACACCCTCCCCTGACCCCTACTAACACAACACCCCCTCCCCTTCTACCCTACCAGTGATACTGTGGATGGGACGCTTCCCCCCCCACCCCCCCAAGATGGCAGTCAAATAGGGGTTATCCCCGGCTCAGCCAATAATGTCCAGGGACTCAATACACCATAAAAGAGCTCACACTTGCAACGATGGCTGTGGACCGCGAAAGCGTCCGTGGCCTTCCTGTAGGAGACGCACCTCAGAGGCAGAGAGGCACCCAAACTGGAAAATCAATGTTTTCCAATAGGATTCTATGCAAACACACTGAAGCCAAGAAAGCAGGGGTGGCGATACTCTTCGCACACACAACACCATTCCAATGCACGAAGACCCTAGCAGACCCCAACGGACGATGTCTCTTCCTCAAGGGTACCATCGTGGACCGCGTGTACACCTTCGCGTGCTTATACAGTCCAAACAAGAAAACAGCACACTTTCTTAAGCTGGATACTGGCCAACCTGGAGAGGTTCAGGGAAGGCCTGCTGGTAATGGCCGGAGACCTAAACATGCCATTGGACCCCCATCTGGACACCTCCAGAGGCCAGAGCGCAATCCCTACACACTGTCTGCGAGCCCCACAACGATCCTTACACAAGTTGGGGCGCGTGGACTGCTGGAGGGCTTATCACCCAGAAGATCGCGACTATACCTATTACTCAGCAGTCCATGCACACTACAGTCGTATAGATTACGTATTCATGGCCCAGGAATATCTGAACCTACTACTCAACGCAGACATAGGCTTAATGGACCATTCCGACCACGTGCCGATTCTGGTACACACAAGCTCCCCGCTCTTCAAGCCAAGAGAAAGGCAGTGGAAACTGAATGAATCCCTGTTGGACGACCTAGGGCTCACTACCACGGTAACCCGTACCTTAACTGAATATTTGACAACTAATGACAACCCAGACACTCCACCATTAACGCTATGGGAGGCTCATTAATGTGTTATCCGGGGGCCATGGCCCTCAGAGTTGCACGTACGCTCTGGAACCAGAGACTGGCACGCATGCGGTGATCGACCCTGGAGCGACCAAAGAGTGAAGGAGGCATGGGACTACCGTCAATCATCACGTACTATCAAGCAACGCACCTCCATCGACTAGTCGACTGGCACGCCAGCCCAAGCACTAAACAGTGGGTTAACATGGAACTACAGCAAGCACAGGGGAAGATCCCCGCCCTACTATGGCTAGGAGAAGCAACACAAGGGGACATGCACACAGGTAATCCAATGATAGATGCCACACTGAGGGTCTGGTGCAGAGTGCGATACACCAAGAAGCTCACAACGTCCCCCAACCCGCTCACACCCATAACTAACAACCCAAAACTGGCAGGAGGGCTTAGTCCCACCGATCTAAAGAACTTTGGAGCAACGGACTGGGTACACATACGCCAATGGTGTAGCGGACCGCATCTAAAGACCTTGGCAGAACTGCTGCAAGACCGCAGACCAAACAGGCTGGATGAATTCCGTTACCATCAGATAAAAGCGTACGTCAATGCCGTGAAAGGCAAGGATCACCTACATCGCCCATTGCTGCACTTAGAACACATCTGCACGGCCAGACAACACCTCTCACATGGCGTATCGACCCTATACACCACACTACAGAATAACAGGGACAAGAGCCCTCTAGGCTTCACGGAGCGATGGGAAAGAGAGACGGAGGTTGAACTAACAGACCTCGAGAGGGGGAAAATCTTCCAGCTGACACACAAAGGGTCCATAAGCACTAAATTTCAAGAATGCAACTATAAAATACTGACACATTGGTACAGGACACCGGAAGTCCTACGGCACGTACACGAATCGATCCCAGGAGAGTGCTGGAGGTGCGGCACAAAGGAGGGCACAGGACTACACATCTGGTGGACATGCTTTCACATCATACCATACTGGCAAATGATACATCGAACGATTAAAGAAATCACGGGTACAGAAATCACCCTCCAGCCGCTACCGATGCTGCTAACCACATACACATACCTCTGAAGACATACAAAAAAGGCCTCATCATACACCTGCTCACAGCAGCAAAAACGCTCATACCAACAATGTGGAAAAGCCTGACAATTCCCTCTTTTCAACAATGGGTCGACAGGGTAGAAACAAACTACAACATGGAAATGATGACGGCCTCACTGCAGGGACGCTCGGACAAGTGTGCCGTGACATAGTTCCCATAGATGGACTACATATCTAAGAGAGCTACACAGGCTGGCGCGGGAGGAGGCAGCGGCACAAAATCCCTGACAGGATAACGCACAACCACAATAAACACCACAACTGATTGAACCACACACCTAGACACAACAACCCCCCCCCCAGGGACCACAGACCTACAACTGAGACGTACAACCGAAACAACTCACAACAACCCAAGCTAGACCATAACAGATCAGACACCTAAAGATAGAGATGAAGGAAAGGCATGCACGAACTGAGTAGAGTAGCTAGCCAACCTAGGACTCTCATAGACACACACGAGACAGGGAGGAAGCAAGGAAAAATCAATCGGTAGAGAAGACGCGACTCTACGTTTGGTAAAGGGCTTCAAAACCCCACAGAGATGACAACTAGCTCAGACACCTAACATACAGACCACCCTTCGAACTGCTTTAAACAAAACACGATGGACACAAACCAAGAACACCTAAAAGGATACACGCCACCATACAAGATGTAGGACACGACTAATTCACACAGGGGAACAAAGGGACCACCAACATGAAAGAGCCACTTGAAGGCATACTAACCCGAGAGAGACCAAGGAGTAAACCTAACCTGACACTTTGCACAACCCTAGAGTACTAG